TTTTTTTTTTTTTTTTAGTTTTCAGAAGTGGGTTCAGGAGTGCAGGGCAATGAAAACATATACAGCTAAAAACAGTATAAAGGAGGAATGGGAATAGATGGCCATACTGTAAAGAAGTAATAGAGTCAGTTATCTCTCTGATCTCTCAAGTCTAAAGTTTCTGTGGACTCCCCCCCAAAACCTCCCCCAACTCTGGGATTGGAAACAGACCCCTGGGCCAGGGAAATGCCCTTGTAGACACTGGTAGATCCTGATGGAGGATTGGGATCGGTGCCTTTTTGCCTGTTTGAGCATCTCTGTGGTTAGTTCTATCTTTGTACAGTTGTCATGGGAAGAAATGAATGTCCTCACGAGGAAAGCAAAGCCTGGAAGAGTGAAGGAGGCGAGAGGCATCAAGGGAAGACTCAAGATTTAAAAACAAACAAACAATAAAGAAAAACCTAGTGGAAAAACAGGATTAAAAAAAAAAAGGGTGGTGGCATGTTCTTCAACCATTGAATCCAATGAAAATGTTATCATTGACATCAACGGCAGCAGATTTGGGTCCTCCCAATAAAGAACTTAAGCAGGTGTGAAACTTTAAGCACTTGTCTAGTCCCATTGCTATCAAGAGGACTACTCAGGTCCATAAGTGCCTTAAGATGACCCAATGCCCCATAGTGACTGGAAAGCTTCACGATGACATCAGTGTTTCAATCTGGTGAATGCTGAGATGTTGACAGCCACTCCCTGGGATTGCAAATACAGTAATATTCAACAGAAACACTAAGATCCTATTTACCCGAATCCTTTTATTTGAAAAACCTCCTTATCTGAACTTGGTTCATACCTGCACTTCTGCGTGCTGCTCACTAAAATATTCTTGGGTTGGATACACTTGGTTCTAGTGTCTTAGCACTGTCTGAAGAGGATTTGAGACAAATACATGCACGAAAATGCTGTTCTTACATTTTATAAAACACAAGGAAAGCAGAAATAATCTTTGACCTCTTTTTGCCCAACACCTTTACAAAATATCTCAATTAAAACATACAGACTTGGCGGGGGGGAGGGGAGGAGGTGACACTGTACTTTCTATGCTGGTGATAGCAGTGAGACCACTGCAAATTTAAAAATTGTGCGATCTGCATTCTTGTCCACCTACACACTATCCCAAACATCCTGCCATTAATTAGCTAAATGTTCCAGCTAGTAAACAAGAATAACGATTGAGGGGGCTGGAAAGAGAGACGGAGTCAGCCAGCAGATAGTCACAACAAACCAGCCCACTCACTGGTACACAGGGACATTAGAGCTCATGGGGTTTTTTCCCCCTCCACGGAGGGGAAAAGAAAATCACCTTAATATAACAGTGTCTTTCCTGTTGCCTCAGCCACATCCATATTAGCAGGCTAGAAAAGTCATCCCATTTCTGCGGTAGGCACTCTGTCAAAGAAAGAGAAAATCTGTAATGAATTATCACATCAACTCAAACAAGGGGAAAGGCAGAGAGGAAGGCGAGGCTTTCTTTCTGTTCTGGAGACGATTCTGGCTGCAATCTAATAGTGTGCTTAATCTGAACATTTCTGGTGGGGAAGCTATAGGCAACCACTTTGTCTATTAAAAAATCAATGTGGTTAACAAGTGGTTAGTGATTCTATTTCAGGAGAGCAACAGATATGCAAAAATATGACATCCTATTTTGTTAATTGTCTACAAAATAAACAGGGCCCAAAATATATTATTATGCTGAATCTGTTTGTCCTTTAAAAGCATGTGTTCTCCATTCACTATGTTCAAGAATTACTTCTAACCTAAGTATCTTAATAGCCTATAAATTACTGACTCTTTACAGCTTTTCCAATTCTAATTTATAGCCTGGGCCAAAAGCTATGTAAACAGACACTAGTGTATTTTCCCCCCGACCTATATTGAACTAAGGCATTCTGTGCAGTACAGAAAACTTTGATCTCCCATATAATGTAACCTCAGATCGAGTCTTCCCAATGATAAAGAAGTGGGAGAGTTAAACAGTGGTTGAGAAGTAGAATTTTAACGATACCATGTCACTATCTTACTAAAATATTTTCCATGCAATTTAAACGTCTCCCCTGAATTAATGCAGGAAGTTATTTGTCTTTTACCAGAAAAACTAAAACCACAAATTTTAATGGGAGGCTGTCAGGTTTAAAATCATAATGCTATGAAATATTTCTCTATTTGTGATGCTAATAATATCATCAAAATGAAGAGATTTGGAACATCTTCCCCCATTATATATTGTTGGTTCACTTTCTTCTTATGACTCAGCTTGGAAAATGAAAATAGACTGGCAGATTTCACCATGTATAAACGATCCCTCGGTTCATTTTCGGAACCACATCAGAACTGCCATATATAAACAGATTATCTGGTATAATGTACTACCTCTGATAGTAAAACTACAGAACAGAAATGCTTCAGAAGAAAATCTGAAAAGGGTATAGTGCAGAATACTGAAATGTGGGTGATCAGAAACTGCTGAGAAATACTTTTATTCCCCCCCCCAATATTTTAATTATTTTTTAAAATAAATTGTGGAGATATTTTATTATTTTTAGTTTTGGAAAACTTGGAGAAGACTGCAATCTCAGTTACACCTGTTCGAATGTAGAGGCACCCCAATACATTTAACAGAATGATTTGGCATTTACCAGGTTTTGACAAAATCTGAATTTGGAGCCTAAAATGTTTAGCAAGGCATTGCTTTAATGTTTAATTCCCTTTAGTTCTTTAGTTGTGCATATCCATTTGTACCCTCGTACTACTATGCATATATTTTTCTGAATTAAATTTCCTTATTCATTTTTGTGCAACCAATTTTCCCCTCTTTGGAACTAGAAACTGAAGAACAGTGTTAACACAGTGCAAGAAAGAGCCTCAAATAACTTTTGGATTGAAATTATGTTTATACTGAATTTTAATCAAATATATGTGTAAAAACAACCATCATATACAGAGAGAGAGTAATTTTCAGACGCACTGAATATGCAAAGAGAAACCATACACGCTATATGCTATAACACCCTTTATATAAACATCATATTTCAATGTATAGATTAAACTGTATATAGTATTAAAGTCAAAGGGTGCAATATTAGCTCGTAGGATGGGCAGCCAGCCATCAGACATGACAATACCACCACAAAACAAAAGCCAAACAAAAACTCTGTACCCAAATATGAAATGCACAAAAATAGGCTAGACAATAACTTTAAAAGAAGGATTCGATATATCCATACAACCACAACTAGAGAGTCCAAGGGAATTTGGATCTGCAGCCTGCCCAAACTATTATGGCTGGCATTTTGATGTCCGTGCAAAAATAATGCCTTTGCCTCCTTGACCTCGATATTTTTACAGTTTATAACCACAGGGACAACCTTTAACATACAAATATAATATTTAGGGCTACTGCGCAGTTTACATTGAGATAAATGGACCTGAGTATAAAGTTGGATTCACATTAAAGATAAATGATTGAATTCTGCCCTGTTTGGGAAAGGATTTTTTGGCTGAGGTGCAAATTTGGGCTTGGCTGAGCTCACCTGGGAAATAATCAAGCTTAAACATTTCCAACATGGGCAATATTAGATGGTTCCCTATACCCCAGAAAAGGTCATTTTAGGAGCAAATTTCAAGGCTGGAAGGACACCACCGTCTTAAAGCAGAACACTCCCACTCATCTATATTTAGCAATACATTATAGCTCATGCCTGCTATAGTTAGGATTGCAAAGCATTTCCTACTGAACTCCCTGTTCTCGCATACTCATAGCTTACTGGAACCTTCACCCTTGGGCTGAAAGTTTCCTTGCTTTTAATCTCTGCCCAAAGTTGAATTTTTTTGGAAAGGCTGAACAAAATTCCTTCAGCCATTTTGGACCTTGGTGAGAATGAAAACAAAACATTTTGCCTTCCAGAGCTGGAGGAAGTGACTCTCATATATGAACATTTTATTGAATAACTCATGTAAGAGGCAATGCCTATAATCCTTAACAGCCTCAAAGTGTCTTCTCTAAAAAGCAGGCTTTACCTTCAACCTCCCCTCAAACAAGCATTTCAGAAATGGGTCATCTGCAGCAGTAAAGATATCGACTCTCCATAGCAAGACAGAACATCTTCCAAGCCCTGATGCATTACAAAATACAAACTTTAATCTCTCAAAGTTGTTATGCACAAGAAAACTATTATACCGGTATCTAAGTAATAACATTTACCCCTAACATAAAGGTTACCGAATTCAGGGTACTAAAGAGGACATCTTTATTTGCCAAAAGACATGAAAAATAATCAGAGAATCATGGAAAATGAGGGTTGAAGGGACCTCAGGAAGTCGCATCTAGTCGAACCCGCTGCTCAAAGCAGGACCATCCCCAACTAGATCATCCCAGGCAAGGCTTTGTCTACCCAGGTCTTAAAAACCTCCAAGGATGGAGAGTCCACAACCTCTCTGGGTAACCTGGTCCAGTGCTTTACTACCCTCCTAGTGAGAAAATTCTTCCTAATATCTAACCTCAACTTCCCTTGCTGCAACTTGAGCCCATTGCTCTTTGTTCTGTCATCTGCCACCACTGAGAACAGTCCAGCTCCATCTTCTTTGTTACACAGCTTTAAGTAGTTAAAGGATGCTATTAAATCCTTTCTCAGTCTTCTCTTCTCTAAATAAACCCAGTCCCTCAGCCTCTTCTCAGAAGTCATGTCTCCCAGCACCCTCACCACTTTCATTGCCCTCCGCTGGACTCTCTCCAATTTGTCCACATCCTTTCTGTAGTGGGGGCCCAAAACTGAACACAGTACTCCAGATGCGGCCTCACCAGTGCCAAATAGAGGGGAATAATGACTTCCCTTGACCTGATGGCAACACACCTACCAATGCAGCCCAGTACGCCGTTAGCCTTCTTGCAACGAGGGCACACTGCTGCCTCATATTCATCTTATTGTCCACCCTAACCCCCAGGTCCTTTTCTGCAGAGCTGCTAGTCTTCCTGCACATCAGGATGGTTTGTTCCTGCACTCAGTCAAGTTTCTTTACAGTACAGCCAGCTCTCCTGGACTCCTCTCCCTCTCAGCCTGGTGTCCCAGGGGATCCTGTCCATGAGTTCCCTGAGCGAGTCGAAGTTTGCTTTTCTGAAGTCCACGGTCCTTACTCTGCTGCTCTCCATCCTTCCTTTCCTCAGGATCCTGAATTCAATCATCTGGTGGTTCCTGCTGCCCAACTTGCCATTCACTACTACATGCCCCACCAATTCTTCCCTGTTCATGAGCAGCAGGTCAAGAAGAGCACAGCGCCTACTTGGCCGCTCCAGCACTTGCACTGGGACGTTGTCCCCAGCACTCTCCAAAAACCTCCTGGATTGCCCAGGCACTGCTGTATTGCCCTCCCAGTACATCAGGGGGATTGAAGTCCCCATGAGAACCAGGGCCTGTGACTGGGAAACTTCCTCTAGGTGTTTGAAGAGAGCCTCATCCATCACTTGCTCCTGCTCTGGTGGTCTAGAGCAGAGCCCTACCACGACATCACCCTTGTTGCTCCCTCCTCTGGCCCTAACCCAGAGACTCTCAACAGGTCGATCTCCAGTTTCATACTGGAGCTCTGAGCAGTCATATGGCTCTTTCACATAAAGTGCAGCAACAACTCCTCTTCTCCCCTGTCTGTCCATCCTGAACGGTTTGTACCCATTTATGACAGTGCTCTAGTCACGCGAGCTCCCACCATGTCTCTGTTATTCCAATCATGTCATAGTGCCGTGACTCTGCAAGGACTTCCAATTCTTCTTGCTCGTTTCCCAGGCCCCATGCATTCACGTACAGACACCCGAGGTAATCAGTCGATTGCCCTAATTTCTCAGGAACAGTGAGAACACCTCGCCCTTTTGCCCTCTCCTGCTTGCTCTTCCTCCAGGTCAGCCCCTTCCCCACATGGATGAGCAGCATGGGGTAGTAGTCAGAGGGCTGGATGAGTCTCGGTAATCCCTCTGTGATATCTTGGATCCAGGCTCCAGGCAAGCAGCAGACTTCCCAAGACAACAGGTCAGGTCAGCAGATGGCTCCTTCCATCCCCTGCAGAAGGAAGTCTTGAACCACCACCACCCATCACTTCTTGGTGGTGGTTGTTTCGATCCTTTCCACCTTGGTGAGGCCTGACCTCTCTTCCTCCACCCTCTCTGCTACTAGGGCTGCACGTCTGTTCTCCAGATGAATGACTGCAGGTGGAGGTGACCATTTCTGCTTGCTGCCAGAGATCATACTCTCCTGGGAGTGCACGTGCTCTCTCTTCTCTAGTGGTTCTTCCTCCACAGTCCCGAAGATCTGCTTTGGTATTGAATCAATGAACTCATGGTGGAGGATGCTTTGGAGCCTCACCACCTCTTCCTGTAGCTCTCTTGCCCGTTCCCTGCGAGAGAC